TGTTTCTTCTTAGTTTTTTCTTATCAGTTTTGTATATTAGGGTTGTGTGTTACACCTAATGTTGTTAAATGAATGTTTATTGCATTATTTCAGTTTCATGTATGTTACCATGATGGTGTTTAGTGTTTGTGTGAATGACTACTGTGCACCTTCTATATATGTTATTATTTAAAAGCTGCTTGTGATGGGCTTTGGTTCATCATGTGACTTTCTCATCACCACCTGCATTTGGTGGTTATCAGTGTATCACAAAGGTACAAAACAGATTTCAGTACTTCAATAGGTTGGTATATTGACATTATATCAGTTAATGAAATTATGGTATTTAACTGTAAATTTAAGTTAAAACCTAAAACGTTGCTACCATATTTTTTACTGTAAAATTCCGGCAACCACAGCTGCTGGTTTTTTACCATAAATTTTACGGATTTTTTTTTTACAGTGTATGTTTAGTTTATGCTGTTAATGTGTGTTTGTATGTATAGTTTTGGGTTGGCTAGCTATAGATTAAAAGAGCTCAGTACAATGAATTTGCGTCACAGTGGAAACTCTGTGAAAAAAGAAATGTATTTCATATTTGTTTCAAACACAAAAGGCCAGAAATGCCTATAAATGTTGCAGGAGCCAGATGGGAACTGTTTCTCATTTTTATTCCACTATAGATTGTGTCTGCTGCATTATCCCTTTGCGTGTCTGTGTGTGTGTGTGTGTGTGTGGGTGTGGGTGTTAGAGTGTGTATATCTGTGTGTGTGTGTGGTGGGGGGTGTTGAGTGTGGTTCATATAAACCGTTTGCTGCTGAGTGTATTTGTTTCCATGGTTACCCCCATGCCAATGTAGATCACGTCATCACAAGACCAAACCTCTGCAGCTATTGTTTACTGATCGTAGAGGAGAGGACTGAATGTGTGTTCACATTTTAGATACGTTCTCCACAGACCTTAAGTTCTTCCTTGTTTTTTGGTCTTTTGTCTAGCCTGTTGTTTATACTGCATTTAATTCCTGGATGTCTTGCTTGGATTCATCATATCTCCTGCTATATTTTGACCACCTGTCATTTTTCTGTGATAGACACACATGGAGGGCTATTTATTCGATACTGCTCAGTGACTCCTGTTGGTTGACTTGGCACGCAGTGTCCTCTGCTTGTATCACCATCTGTACCGCTCCGTACAGAGCTGCATGAGTAAGAATGATCATCTACTGCTCTATAAATTGACATTCTAATGCAATGCAAATAGTTTCTATTTTCCTCATTTTTCTTCTCACTACTCCTAGTTTGTTTTAGGTCCTGAGAGTCATGTGAGCCTAACTTTGCTTTTTTATACAGTAAGTCCTTTTATTGTTTCTTAATGAAGTATGTCTGCTCTTTCTTTCTCACAAAGAGAATACTTTGGATTGTGGTGTGGTTTATGAAGTCCATGCATTTGTGAGTCTTTTTTGTATACACACAACACTAGCACAAAAGTGTTTTTAGTTTGTCTTAACAAAAATTAAGTTTTAATAATTAAGATAAGTTTATAATCAATTCAAATATAATAAATCAACTATAAATAATGGTAATAAAGATATATTCATTTAAGTAATAAGTTAATTATTGTTAATGTAGTTCAGTAAGAAAGGAAGTGAGGTTGTAATTTTAAAATCTGATGTTTTACATTTTTGAAAAGGAAAAGACCAGCACATTTTTATTAGGCTTAACATAATTTAAGCAGTTTAATTCAGTTCATTAATAAAGTTCAGTAACACTTTATTTTAAGGTGTCCTTGTTACACATGTTACATGTACAATTATACATAATTACATGCAAGTAACCTTAAGCCAAACCCTAACCATATGGTAAGTACATGTAGTTAATACTTAGTACTTAAATGTATAATTACACTGTAACCTTAAAATAAAGTGTAACCTAAAGTTCAAATTATTTGTATATATACACTGTCATTCAAAAGTTTAGGTAAATCTTATGGACCCCAAACTGTGAATGGTAGAGTAGTTATCATTGATAAATGAACACAGGTTGTAATTTTAAATTCTGATGTTTTTAGTCTATAAAAATGAAGACACCAATGTGAGGATAAATGAAAACAGTCAGACTTATCATCGCGATTAAAAACACTTTTACTGAGATATTATTGAATTCTTTGTGGCGAGTAGAGGACACCAATGTTTTCAAATAAATTAAGAACAAAAAACATAGTTTCCCCTTCCTAAATATTTTGTTTATGGCCTATTTCATTTTTGGTTTCATTCAGATACCTGCCTGCAAAGGCTGTTCTTTCTTCAACTCTCCCTGTTATACAGTTTGTGTCTGGGATTGAATGCTTATTGAGCAAGTGGCATGAGATGATTATGCTTAGGTTTGATGAAAGACAATCTGTGAAGGGTGTGTACTTGTATGTGTGTGCGTGTGTGTGTGTGTGTGTGTGCTTGTATCCTTCAACAGAGCGATCTCTTCTCTTTATAGCTCATTCTGACAATTCAAGAGCATCCAGCTGCAGCATGAATAGAGTACAGGAATAAATAAATTAATAATATTCATCAGAGAAGAGAAGTAAAAGAAGCGGGAGGTAAAGATGGATAAAGGTGAATTGGATGTAAGAAGACCATTCGCAGATGAGGGTCAGAGGTATGAAGAGAGGGGTAAACATTAAAGAAAGATGAAAGCAGAAAGGAGTAGGGAAAAGAAGAGAGGAAGTGAGAAATGCAGAGAAGAGAAGTGATGAGTTGAGGGTCAGAGAGAGAGAAAGGAGTGAAAGAAAGGGGGATGGGTGTGTTTGTTGCTGAAGTGACTGTTTTTCTTGTAAATGCAGCCTCAGTGTGTGTATGTGTGTGTGTGTGTGTGTGTGTGTGTGTGTGTGTGTGTGCGTGTGTGTCTGTGCGCGCGCGTGTGTGTGCGCACGCGTGTGTGTGCGCGTGTGTGTGTGTGTGTGTGTGTGTGTGTGTGTGTGTGTGTGTGTGTGGAGCTGGAGTATTGATCAGAGTGATCCACTCCAGCACTGAATGTTGACTCTGCACTAAAGGTGACACAGCCTTCTCTGTCTGACTTTTTGCTTTTATATATATATATATATGATTTGTTACCATGGTACCTATATCAAGATATTAGTACATTTCAAAATGTATATTTAAAACATACCCTTTAACCCTTTTCTAAATGAACAAAGGACAAAGATTTACGTACATTAAAATCAGAACATGGCTATTCTCTAGAACTTTAACATTTGACAAAACTAAAAATGTGATCATCTATTTATTTCCCTAAATTAACTTGTATTTAAATATTATTTATCAAAGTAAAGCATTGTAGGTGCTTTTTCAATTTAATGTAGTATCTATACAATATTCCAGCAAAGCAGTTGACTACTGGAATGAATTGATTACTAGGTTCCATTTTCATTGTTGCATGGATTTATAAATCATGGATTTATCAAAATTATATTGTCTGGTTTATTAATGGTTGAATCTCAGTTAAAATGTTGATGAAATTCAGCTTTAACTTTGACAAAGCAGTGATATTGTACACCTTTAATGTTTGAAAAGTGATAGTCACTGTCAGTGCACAGTGAAGTGTTTAAATATTAAACACATTGTGTCATAAGTATTTCTGCTGTGAAAAAAAAGAAAGAATGTGATAACAAATTTGATCAGTAACTCTCAAATGATGTGGGAATATTTTGGTTTAAAAAAGCTGACTTCAGCTTGTGCCTTAACATGCGTTGAAACCTGATAAAAGAAAATGATTCCATATGGTCAATGGTTCTCATTTAATGAATAAAAAATAAAACAGTAGACTAACAGTAATCATGCAAAACTAGATGGTGAATGTAATGCAATTAGAACATCATCACTCACTGCTGCTCAAACCTCAAATATTTTCTTAATGCTAACCATTATGGATCTTGTGATAAGACTGCTACAGCACAGTTCACACTGTATATGGCATAACACCCCGTGTTAGCGTTATGTCCGCAGCACTGTCTCATTTGCATAGTCCACCTCTAAATGTGTCATTCCTCCCACAGCAATGCCATGAATTATGAGACTGTACTGCAGAAGCTGTAGTGTACTACTCTGTGATTACATTCAGCTGCATTGCTGCCATTGCTACTTGCTGCTGTTTGCTCTAAATTAGCTGTTCATTTTGTTTTTGCTGTATATTTTTACTCACATTTTAGTATCTTCTGCCTCTAGTAGATGATACATGGTTTTCTCTGTGTCTGTTTCAGCTGTTTAAAGACAGGACGTTTTAAGACAGTATGGCAGAAGCCCCTGTTGGAGAGGACGCACCCAAAGAGCAGGAGGGTGCCACCCCACTTACTGACGATCCCCTGCCAGGGGTTGGGATTGCTCTATGGGAAAGAATATTGAAAGCAAGTGTCACAGCTGGTGCTTTCCTCCTGCTGTACACACTGTCTCAACTCACAGTGAGTTTATGCACATTTCTCAAATAGTTAGCAAATAACTCCTTAACACATACATATCACTCTTTATGCAGATGTGCACACCATTAACTATTTATTGTTTTTTATGGCTGTATGTGTGAGAGTGTTTCAGTTATGCCTATGTTCTGGTTTTGTCTAAAAGTGGCAAATTTGGCTTTTAGCTGAAATTAAGCAGTTGATCATTTTGTTGTGTAGCTAAATTATTTTAGTTTTTTTTTTAAACCAGGAATGTTTTAAATTTATAATGAAGGTTTTTGTCATGTAAATGGACAATAAAACAGTTGTTATGGTGTGTGCTTATATGTCTTTGTGTTTGAATGTGTTTGTGCATACAAGTATAGAAAAACAGGCTGTCCCGGGGTCTGCTGTGATTGACCCTATAGTCAATAACTGCACCGCATGCCTTCCTGTCTGACAAACCAGCAAACAGCTGTGCAAGACTTATGTATACACATAAACTACCATTCAAAAGTTTGGGGTCAGTACTTTTTCTTTTTTGAAAGAAATGAATACTTTTATTCAGCAACGATGCATAAACTTGATCAAGTGACAATAAAGTTATTTAATGTAACATAAGGTTTCTATTTCAAATAAATGCTGTTCTTTTGAACTTGCTAATCATCAAAGAATCCTGAAAAAATGTATCATGGTTTCCACAAAAATATTTGTTTCTTAACAGCAAATCTGCATAATGGAATGATTTCTGAAGGATCATGTGACACTGTAGACTGGAGTAATGGCTGCTGAAAATTCATCTTCGCCATCATTTGAATCAATTACATTTTAAAATCAACCTTGTTGAGCATAAGACACTTAACAAAACTCAAAAACAATAATAATAAAAAAAATCTTGCCCATCCCAAACTTTTGAACGTTGTATATTTGCGAAACAATAATCATTTATTAATTTGAAATTAAACTTGTGGCAAAATACCAAAACACGTTTAGTGATTCATATCCAATGTCTCATATCTTTCTTTGCCATTCCTAGTTGTTGATATGTAAGTCACTGTTGTCTTTTGAAGGGTTTGTGTGTGATAGTAAGTGTGTATTTGTTGATGTGTTCAGGGTTTGTGGGTCCTTTACATGCTGAATGGATACAGGGCTTTTCCAGCAGCACATAAAGTTTTGGATCTCCTTCAGTACCTTCTCTCCACCAGTGATGCCTACGATCAACAGGTGATGGCACTAGAGCTGAAATATCTTCTCTGTCAGAACAGAATGAAAAACACTGATGTGAAAGAGAATTTAAAAGGGATTCACTATCATATGTCGTTGATCGTCTGCAGATGGAGATATGGAGGGTGGAAAGCTTGTTGCCCCTCATAGCCACACTCTTCTTAGGTGTAGTCATCCTTGGTACTGGAGTGAGTATGTTTTTTTTATGTGTTCGCCTTTTGTTACTCAGAGCTTTAGTTTAACCTGTTTATACAATAACTTGATTTCCGTCAAACTGCATGACAGCATGTGCTCAGTACACAGTGTTGCTGCAGCTTATTTGAAACGAGCATGCACTCATTCCTTTGTGTAAATCTTGAACTTTCCTTCCCCCCCCCCCACTTCCTGCCACCACAGACGCTGTTCTGCATTAAAACCCTGGTGCCTGGTAACCCATCTTGCTTCCCTGATGACCGTCGTCAGTCCATGAGCAGGCAGCCCTCCTTTACATATTCAGAATGGACAGATGCTAAACAGGAGGATTTCTACGAGCTGGATGCTGTTCCGGAGACGCCCGTGTTTGACTGCTTTATGGACATGAAGACCGAGGCTGACCCTGTCACTCTCACTGTCAAACCTGTGGGCTTGCAGGAAAGGTAAGAAAATCACATCTGTATGCATTGAATTTGATGTATATTACATTGCCAGATTGGCAATCTGATATACCGAGTTCCCTTCATTGATACATTCATATAAACCCCCATGCATTTTGAGCATAGAGAAAAGTCAGCTTGCTGTGCCTCTACAGAATTTTCTATGCTAGCATCCTTGGTACTGGAGTGAGTATGTTTTTTTATGTGTTCGCCTTTTGTTACTCAGAGCTTTAGTTTAACCTGTTTATACAATAACTTGATTTCCGTCAAACTGCATGACAGCATGTGCTCAGTACAAAGTGTTGCTGCAGCTTATTTGAAACGAGCATGCACTCATTCCTTTGTGTAAAGCTTGAACTTTCCTTCCC